AAAAAAAAAAAAAAAAAAAGAAAGAATGAGGTCCTGCCATTTGCAACAACATGGATGGAACTAGAGGTCGTTGTGTTAAGTGAAATCAGCCAGGCACAGAAAGACAAACTTCTCATGTTCTCACTTATTTGTGGGTGCTAAAAATTAAAACAATTGAAGTCATGGAGAGAGAGTCAAATGATGGTTATCAGAGGCTGGGAAGGGTACTGATGGTGGGGCTGGGGAAGAAAGGAATATGGTTATGCGTACAAAAAAATAGAAAGAATGAGTAAGAGTTGACACAACAGGGTGACTATAATCAATAATAATTTAATTCTACATTTAAAAATAACTGAAAGAGTATAATTTGATTGTTTGTAACACAAAGAATAAATGCTTGAGGGGATGAAAACCCCATTCTCTATGATATGATTATTACTTATCGTATGCCTGTATCAAGATAGCCTATATACCCCATAAATATATACACCTACTATGTACCCACAAAAATTAAAAATTAAAAAATTCCAGAAAAAAAGATTTAGAACCCAAGATGTGGGCACTAGGCATGCCCATTACGCCTTTGCTTTTCAGTTAATAGCATTGGTATTTTTAAAAAGCTACCCAGGTGATTCCAATGTGCAGCCAATAGTGAGAACTGGTGGTGTATGAAGAAGGGGCTCAGTAGCCATCACCTATCTATAATAGACAACTATGGGAAGGAAAGGGAGAGAAGAAATTGTAGGAACGAGGACCACTGGTCCAATAGAGCGTGTTCCAAACCATGAATAAAGTCACATGTGTGGGCCATGAAATCAATCTATCATGTCATTTCCAGCATTTCCAACAACAGACCAGGTGCAGTGGTCTAATACGAAATATCAGAGGGCATTACATATAGTGATAGTTTCTTTTTCTTAAAACTTTTAGTTATATATACTAGAGAACATCTACATATTTTTATGAACTAGATGTTGATATAAAACTATTTCGTACCTGGTCACAGTCCCCAGAAGTTGAGAAGTACTAGCCTAGAGGAGAGGGCTGTGCTATTCTCTCCTCTCTTAGACAAAAGTAGGTGCTTCTCCAACCCAAGCCCTAAGGCAAGGGAGGGAAGAGAGGAAAGAACAACCTGAGAAGATTGGGGGTGTCTTCAAGAAAGGAAGGCTGATGTCTCATTACCTGTTTGGACATCTGCTTAGAGAAAAGATTTACAGATCATACTCCTGTGCCTGTTTGAGCAGGCAGGTACGAACTAAAGAGACTCAGCAGGGCAAAGAGTCAGGAGGGCAGTGAAGAAGTCCACGTGCCCACCACTGGCTTTCTGTAGGTCAAGTGGACCCCAGGAGGTAACCTGAACTATCTTTCCAATGCCTCATCCAAGAGGGTTGGCCATTGGGTAAGGAGACCCCAAGAGCTAAAGGCTTGGAGGGAACTAGCAAAGGTGGGGTCTGGGGTGGTTGTGGAAAAGGCAGAGTCACAGTCAGATCCCCTCCACCAGGGGTGAGGGGACAGGTTCTGCAACCTGCTGTCCCCTGATGAAAAATTTCTGAAATATACTGAGAGAGCCAACAAGGGGAGGCCTGCCCACAGACCATGGGCAGCCAAGCAGCTTAGCTAGAGAAGCACTAAGGGCCAAGAGATCATCACAACAGAACGTAAAAGGATGGGTGGCACTTCATAGCTCCCTCCTGCCCACCCACACCCACTGGAGGAGAAAGAGACCCAGAAGAGGAAGGGGTGGAAGCATGAGAGACCAGACAGTTCTCTGCTCCACATCCAACCCCACTTGACGCACAGCAGAGGGCAGTGGATAAGGACTAACTGGATCTAAGGTTGAGATTTTAAACTAGACTAGACTTTGAGATCAGAACATACTGAAAAGGCATGGGACCACCCAATGTGCCATTGCAGGACTGGAAAGAGAGACTGGAGAAAGCAGGGTTGAAGTCAATTTCCGGAGCGAAAACAAACCTCTTGTTTAATCCTACCATCTTGAGATTTCCCAATAAAATGCTTCCTGATCCTTTTCATGGGGTAGCTAGGGAAGGCCTTTCTGAAGAGGTAATGCCCTCAGCTGAAGCATGAGAATCAGTGGCCACAGAGGAGCTGGGAAGGATGGTTTATCAGAAAAGGAGGCCGGGCGTGGTGGCTCACACCTGTCACCCCAGCACTCTGGGATGCCCAGGTGGGTGGGTCACTTGATGTGAGGAGAGACCAGCCTGCCCAACATGGGGAAACCCCACCTCTACTAAAAACACAAAAATTAGCCAGATGTGATTGTGGGCATTTGGAATCCTAGCTATTCAGGGAGCTGAAGCAAGAGAATCACTTGAATCCCGGAGGTGGAGGGTACAGTGAGCCAAGATTGTGCCACTGCTCTCCAGCCTGGGCAACAGAGTGAGACACTGTCTTGGAAAAAAAAAAAAAAAAAAGAAAGGGAATACAAAGTACAGAGTCCCAAGGTGAAGGCATTGGCATATTGGAGAATGGAGGGGCTGCAGCCCACTGAGAGAGGATGAAGACAGGGTAGGATGCGGAGGTTACAGGACCTGAGGCATGATGACCTGTGGCCTGCTGAGGGGTGCAGAAACTAATTTCTGTAATTTCTCATAATCGCAAAGTACTATGTGCTTATCTAAAAGATTCCAACGTGTGCCTCCACCCCTCTAGTCCAAATTCTCAAAGGTAACTACCAATAATTTTCTTCCAGACTGTTTAGTATCTCTGTGTTTCCATGCATATATGTAAAATTTATTTTTTATTTTTTTACTTTTTGAGACAGAGTCTGGCTCTGTTGCCCAGGCTAGAGTGCAATAGCACAATCTCAGCTCACTGCAACCTCTGCCTTCTGGGTTCAAGTGATCCTCCTGCTTCAGCCTCCCAAATAGCTGGGATTACAGGTGCCCACCACCACTCCTGGCTAATTTTTGTATTTTTAGTAGACGGGGTTTCACCATGTAGGCCAGGCTGGTCTCGACCTGCTGACTTCAGGTGATCTGCCTGCCTCAGCCTCCCAAAGTCCTAGGATTACAGGCCATGCATATATTTTTATATGAATAAAAACTTATAGTTCTGCAATTTATTTTTCTTCACTTGAAAACATATCAACTAGGTGCGGTGGCTCATGCCTGTAAATCCCAGCACTTTGGGAGGCCTAGCTGGGCAGATCACTTGAGGTCAGGAGTTCGAGTGGAGCCTGGCCAACATAGTGAAACCCTATCTCTACTAAAAATACAAAAATTAGCCGGGCATGGTGGCGCGTGCCTGTAATCCCAGCTATTCAGGAGACTGAGGCAGGAGAATCACTTGAACCCAGAAGGAGGAGGTTGCAGTGAATCAAGATCGTGCTACTGCACTCCAGCCTGGGTGACAGAATGAGACTCTGTCTCAGAAAAAAAAAAAAGAGATTGGCTCATGAAATTATGAAGACTAAGAAGTCCCACGATCTGCCATTTGCAAGCTAGAGACCCAAGAAGTCCACAGAACAAATAACGTAGCTTCTAGTCTGAGTCTGAAGGCCTGCAAGCCAGGAGCACCAAGGGCAGGAAAAGATCAAGGCCCCAGCTCACATGGCCAGGCAGAGGTAATGCAACATTCCTCTACCTTTTTGTTCTATTCAGGCCCTCAACAGATTGGAAGAAGCGCATTGGGGAGGTCCATCTGCCTTATTCAGTCCATCAATTCAAATGCTAATACCTCCGGAAACCTTGACAGACATACTTAGAAATAATGCTTAATCTGGGCATCTCACGGCCCAGTCAAGTTGACACATAAAATGAGCCATCGCAAAGGGGAGAAGACAAAAGTTCAGACACACGATCAACAACTTAGAAGAATAACTATCCATCATACTGATAGACACTGTGTTTCCAAAATAATGGGTTATTCTTGATGTCTTGTAGCTTCAAAAATAAAAACCTGCAGACACAGTGAGACACTGAATTTGCCCCTGTGGGAGAGAAATGACCCTGTAAATTATATCACATCACCTGTCATTCCAGAGCAGAATCTTAATAGGCAGCCACTTCCCCCATGCATAAGTTGAGTTCCATGCAGTCAAGGACCTTACAAAAGCTCAGAGGGCCTCCTTCTTGAGCCTGGAATAAGAATCAGGATTTTTTTTTTTTTTTTGAATAAACTAAGGACTGTGAATCCAGCAACTTACCTTTTTGTTCTTGCTTGGCCCAGAATATTTTGACTCGCTGGTGAATGTACTTGTCCTCACGAAGTTTCTTCTGCCACTTACGCAGTTCTTGAATCTCAGGATCACAGCGAACCTGGAAAATCACAGTAAAACCTTAGTCCCTTTTTGACATACTTCTGTACACTAGCTTATTAACCCTGCATGGAAAATCCTTTACAAACCAATTGGATGTACTTTTGATTCTCGATGAATCATTGTTCTAAATGAATTATTGACACTCCAGAGCTCATGTCATATTTGAGTATAAATGAGGTTGTGGGAAGATTTGCTATAGCAACAGTAGGTTAGAATGAATAGGTCTGTGCTGTCCAATAGAAAAATAATGCAGCAGCCAGGCACAGTGACTCATGCCTGTAATCCCAGGCTGAGGCGGGCGGATCACAAGGTCAGGAGTTCGAGACCAGGCTAGCCAATATGGTGAGACCCCATCTCTACTAAAATTGTAAAAATCAGCTGGATGCAGTGGTGTGTGCCTGTAGTCTCAGCTACTCAGGAAGCTAAGGCAAGAGAATCACTTGAACCCAGGAGGCGGAGGTTGCAGTGAGCTGAGATGGCACCCTAGTGATTTTTTTTAAATTTGGTTAAATACACATAACATAAACTGTACCATATTAATCCTTTTAAAGTATACTCTTCAGTAGCATTAAGTACACTTACAAGCTTGTGTGACCATCACTGTTCTCTCATTGCAACATTTTCATCAGGCCAAAAGGAAATCCCACACTCTTTAAGCAACCAATTCCCATTCTCCCCTCTCCCTGCCCCAGCCAACCACAGACCTGCTGTAGTCTCCATAGCCTTTCTGGATTTGCCTATTCTGGATATTTCATACAAATGGAATCATACAATCATGTGTCCTTTTGTGTCTGGATTCTTCCAGTCAGCATATCATGTTTTAAGGTTTATCCACATTGCAGCATGTATCAGTACTTCATTCCTGAATAATATCTATTGTATACGTATACCACATTTAATTTTATCCATTCATCACTTAATGGAACATTTGTTTTGCCTTTTTTTTTTTTTTCTGAGACAGGGTCTCATTTTGTCACCCAGATTCCAATGCCGTGGTGCATGATCTTGGCTCACTGCAACCTCCACCTCCCAGGGTCAAGCAATCTTCCCACCTCAGCTGGGACTATAGGTGTCCCACCATGCCCGGCTAATTTTTTAACTTTTTGTTTTTGTAGAGATAAGGTCTTACTGTATTACCTAAGCTGGTCTCAAACTTCTGGGCTCAAGCAATCCTCCTGCCTCAGCCTCCCAAAGTACCGGGATTACAGATGTGGGCCACTGAGCCTGGCACCTAACGGAACATTTGAGCTGTTTCTACCTTTTGGCTATTGGGAACAGGGCTGCTATGAACATTTGTGTATGAGTTTTTGTTTATTTTTTATTTATTTATTTTTTGAGATGGAGTCTTGCTCTGTCACCCAGGCTGGAGTGCAGTGGCACGATCTCGGCTCACTGCAACCTCCGCTTTCAAGTGATTGTCACACCTCAGCTTCCTGAGTAGCTGAGATTACAAGCACGTGCCATCATGCCAGGCTAGTTTTTTAATTTTTAGTAGAGACGGGGTTTTGCCATGTTGGCCAGGCTGGCCTTGAACTTCTGACCTCAGGTGACCCACCCACCATAATCTCCCAAAGTGCTGGGGTTACAGGTGAGTTTTTGCTTAAACACCCATTTTCAATTTGAAAGGGGCCTGTAGACCTAGAAGTAGAATTGCTGGGTCACATGGATAATTTTACATTCAATTTATTGAGAAAACAAACTGTTTTCACCGTGGCTGAATCATCTTATCATCTCACCAGCAATGAATGAGAGGGTTCTAACTGAACCACATTCTTCCAACACTTGTTTTATTCAATTTTTAAAATTTAAACTTTAAATTTCATTCAATTTTTTTCTGAAATAAGGTCTTGCTTTTTTGCCCAGGCTGGTCTCTCAAACTCCCCGGCTCAAGTGATCCTCCCACCTCATCCTTCCGAGTAGCTGGGACTGCAGGTGGGTACCACTGTGCCTGGCTCTGCTTTTTACTATAGCCATCCCAGTAGATACGAAGCGGCATCTCATTGTGTTTTAATCTGCACTTTCTCTAATGTGTAATAACATCGAGCATCTTTTCACGTGCTTGTCGGCCGTTTGTATATCTTCTCGGAAAAATGTCTATTCAAGGCTTTTGCCCCTTTATTTGTTTCCTTTTTTCTCCCTCCGCTTCCCTTTGCCCTTTTAAAAAGTGGGTTGCTTGTCATTTTGTTGTTGAGTTGTAAGAGTTTATTATATGTTCTGGACACTATACCCTTCTCAAATATATTATTTGCAGGTATTTTTCTCCCATTCTGTAAGTTGTCTTTTCACTCTCTTGATAGTGTCCTTTGATGCAAAAGGTGATACATTTTGATCAAATCAAATTTATCTTTTTTTTTTTTAAGTAGAGACAGAGTTTCCCTTTGGTGCCCAGGCTGGAGTACAATGGTGCAATTTTGGCTCACTGCAACCCCTGCCTCCCAGGTTCAAGCGATTCTCGTGCCTCAGCCTCCTGAGTAGCTGGGATTACAGGCTTGCACCACCACCACAGCTAATTTTCTTGTTTTTAGTAGAGATGAAGTTTTGCCATGTTGGCAAGGCTGGTCTAGATCTCCTGACCTCAAGTGATCTACTCACCTCGACCTCCCAAAGTGCTGGGATCACTACAGACATGAGCCACTGCATCTGGTCTGAATTTATGTATTTTTTCTTCTGTTATTTGTGCCTTTGGTGTCATAGCTAAGAAACTACTGCCAAACACTTATCCTTGTGTTTTCTTCTAAGAGTTGGATCATATAGCTCCTTGATCCATTTTGAGTTAATTTATGTATATATGGTGTGAGGTAAGGATCCAATTTCATCTTTGGCATGTGGATATCAAGTTGTCCCAGAGCCATTTGTTGAAGAGACTATTCTTTCTCCCACTGAATGGTCTTGGCCCCCCTACCAAAAATCAATTGACCACAGAGGTATGCATTTATTTCTAGCCTCTTAATTCTCTTCCCACAATGTATGTTTTTTTCAAGTTAAAATATATGGACTTTCAAAATAAGGTATAGGAGTGGTAAATAAAACTAATTTCTTACAGTCTTACGTTCATAAGTGTCAGGCATCTTAAACATTGCTGTTCCGGGTAGGATGGGTTATCATATCTTACTAGCTGTGATCTCAGCAAACCCAAACCCTCCTAGAGGCGAAGGGTGGGGGAGGGGGCAAATAAGGGATTATCCACAACTTTCCCACAAGCTCATGTTTATTGGGATCTAAGCACACAAGAATCCCCATATTTCTGGACTCGACAACCGATAGCCTTAATGAGAATAAACCCAACAGATCTTCTGAATTATTAAAGGAAGGTCTGGTTATAATCAGCAACTTGACTATGTTTTATCATAGTCAAATTCTTTCTTTACTATTGCTTTACTTTTCACATTTGGAAGGATATACAAGGCGCGTTCGTCATTGAGGGGCTGTCACTTTTTACTCCATGTTTTTCTGGACTGGATTTTTGGGATGTTTACAATGAGCATAGATTGTTTTACGAATACAAGAAGTGTTTAAATTTTTAAGTTAATAGGCTTCTGAGAGGCAGGGAAAAGTCCTTTGACTTATAAATAATTGATGAATTTTCCTACAATCGTTTGACTCTTCGTTGTCTAAATACTCAACAAAAAAGTAGAAACACCCATTTCTCCATCATTCTGGAAGCCTGCAGTTATTTGTAGGGTTCTCCTCACCAGTTTAGCATGATTTTGCTCTGTCCGACCAGAGACCCTTTCATCTTTTCCTTAATTTCTTTCGTTTTGAAGTGAGGACTGCTATTTACCAAGAGAGAATACAGTAGCCTTGTTAGTTCATTACCGGGGAAGCCTGGATCTCTAGAGAAGGCTTTTGTGAGCCCTGGGGAAAGCACGCACCCGTTGAACTGGGCTAATCCCAGTCATTATCATCATGAGTAGGGAATCAATTTCAATGGCAGTGGTTGTGCCAATCAGCAAATACCATGGAGTGCAGTGTAATGTTTAACACATAAACAATTTCATTGCTAAACAAACGCTCCCTTACTAAGAGCTTTCCACTTTTATTTTAAAAAATTACTCTGTGGAGTCCATTTGCTCCTCTAACATGGGAGCATAAATAGAGTATACATTATTTATGTCAGTTTTTTTTTTTTTTAATGCCCATGACACCATCAGATTCTCCTAATTATAGATTACTCAACTTTCTGTTTATAAGGAAGCTTTGAGATTTCTTCTTAGATCTTTGGCAAAACAAAACAAAAGCTAGTTTTTCATTCTGGTGATTATTATTAGTGTTCCTTATTGTCTTGAGGAGCTAATATTTGTTTTTGGTTTTTGAGACAGGGTCTCTCTCTGTTGCCCAGGCTGGAAGCCAAGACAGGGTATCATTTTGGTTTTAAAAGCCAACCCTGAATCCAACAGCTCAGGGCTGAATCTTAGTTCCACAAATTACAAGCTAAGGAGCCTTAGGCAGTTTTCTTAAACGCCACAAACCTCAATTTTCTCATCTGTAAAATGGGGATAATAAAAATAGTTTCTTCATTGGGTTGGTGTGAAAATAAGCTGAGATAATACATACAAAGTGCTAAACCAGTGTGTGACACATAGCAAGCTCTTACTCTGTTAGCAGTTTCTTAAATTAGTTGCTAAAGTATTGAGAATAATTGGATTCAGCTCTGAGGTTGAATCTTACAATTGCTATTAATGCATGGAGCCAAGTGGCTGAGGCACCAGTGATTCAGAAAACCGAAAGTAAGCCTCTTCCCTAGGATTTACAAAGTTTTGAATATATAAATGATTTCATAATTTTAGGCATTAGCCAGCCAGCAGAAAGAAGTTTTGGCCAGGCATGGTGGCCCACGCCTGTAATCTCAGAACTTTGGGAGGCTGAGGCCGGTGGATCACCTGAGGTCAGGAGTTTGAGACCAGCCCAGCCAACATGGCGAAACCCCATCTATATTAAAAATACAAAATTAGCCAGGTGTGGTCGCACGTGCCTGTAATCCCAGCTACTTGGGAGGCT